GAATATTTGGGCCGTCTTATTCAGGGCAAGGTTCGCGCAAAATGGCGAGGATGTGGCATCAAATGGATGGGATGTCATTTGAAACTCGGATGATTCCCTCGACATGTCTCCCTCTTGCCACCACAGAAATCCTGAAGCTCCTCGATCAGACTCAGGGACCTTCACTTGCATGAACATTTCTTCAACATCTACAGGGATTGCAACTGCCTCCTTGCGAAAACTTACTGATATACACCTTAACTCAGCAGTGGTATCGGGTTCTTGATAAATCATATCATTTGGGGGAACCCCTGCAAACTGGGCGGCACAATCAAGGACCACTCTAAGATCTGGTTTTTTCATGTTTAATACTGCACGATGAGGTAAATACCATCGAGGGCGATAATAAGATTGCAGATATATTTCAAAGACCCTCTCCGCATAAGTCTTAGTAAAATCACTTTCAGTACTTTTGATATACTTGATGTGCAGACTGACATCCTTCGACAACATACCCTTCAAACTTTGTAATCTACTGTTTGCTACTTCATAGTTATCCACTTTCATATCTGGATTCTTTTTCCAAGGTATAGAAACTACAAAATGACCGTTGCCGAAGCGCGTGCCACCTTCCACAATCTTTATAGCCATCTTGTCGTCTACTGATAATGATTTATCACTTGAATAAGCATCTGAAAACTCTACGTCATAAGGCTTACGTATTCCGTTCTCTAATGTCTGTATCTTACTGGTATGATTAACAACTCTTTTCCTATATTCCGGGCATGATGGCTTATCATTTACGACGTTGCTTGTCGAGTCAGTGTGCAGCAGAGCGTGATGTCTCCTCTCGCAACTGTCAACCTTACAGAGCCTTGTCATCTTACATTCATTAACCTTATGTCCTTGTCTAAGACAGACGAAACAGATACCCTTGCATTTAGCGTGAGACCATCGGTCTTGCACTGTAAGCGCTAAGAACTGTGGACATTTATCAATGGCATGGTCGTAGGAACACATACTACATTTAGTTTTCATTGTCGAACTATTTCCTTGCTCTGATTGCACATGACAGTTCGTCTTTACGTTATGTCCTTTTCTAGAACGGTTTGCTAACCGTCCAAATCTACTACAAGCCACTCTCGCACGCGATGCGATAAACTGAGTGAGCTCGTCGAAGGTCGGTTCTCTGTTATCTTCAGTCAATTTATCCACCCAGTCCGCCCACTGGGCTTGCATAGGTTGAGGCAAGAGTCTCACTATTCTTTCCAAGGTAACTAAGGAATTTAGATCAGAAGTATAATTCATTTGTTCCAAGACCATGGCACAGTTTTCCATCTTAATAGCCAAATTTGATAGTTGGTCCCCGTCAATATACTCAAAATTCACAGCACTGAATAAGTCCTCTAGTGTTTCTCGAGCAATTACGTGAGGCTGTCCGAAAAAACGTTTTAAAATCTCCCTTGCTCTTTTATAGCCAGAGGATGCCTCCATCATGACGCAACCTTCAATAGCTGTTTTAGCCTTGCCCTTACAGTAGTGTATCAAATAGAGTAAGCGCTGGCTATCATCCGTGACTCTTGAGGCTACATACGTCTCGAATTGCTTTATAAACTTCCAGTAACCTCTTGGCTCTCCATCGAAATAACTCAGTTCAACCTTAGGTAGCTCTGGGACAACAACATGGACTATAGGCAACATGCTCTTTCCTAGTAATTCAGACCTTTGCTCCTCCTTTAAACTAAGATTTTTTACATCATCTGACATCGAATTAAGGCTCGAATCACTGCCATGATAATGAACCCTATTTAAGTCTGAACCATGACCCTTAAGGACGTCAAAAGGCACTTGCTTGACAATAGGGGATTCTTCGTTAACATCGACGAACTTTGAGCCTGATCTCCTTCGACGATTAACTGGCATTATAAGCGACACGACCAATTATTTCCAGAAAATCCGTGAACGATTACCAAAGGATTTCGGCCAAGTAATATTTGTTTAGAACTGTAGAATCCAAACTACGGTTTGGATGTTGAAGAATAGCCGATAGAGGATGTTAGACACGCGCCCTTTCCCGTCGAAATCAGAACAAGTAATCGGGTAACTAGCGGTTCTATAATTCATAATAAATTTAATGTAAATCATTACCTAAACAAATATTATCACCCGGCTATTCAACCAATGATTGTTCAATCAATTAAATCTAAATTACAATAAATAAAGAAGTTGATAGAAGATGAGGAAAAATTACCAATCACAACAAATCAACGTTATTCTATCCTGGCTGGATAGATCACACACAACAGGAGGAACAAATCAATATGGCTACCACCAAGAACAAGTGTCAAGTAAAACAACGCAGATGCAGTTCAGGAAGAAACACAAACTTAGTGAATGCGTAATAAAAACAAAAACTATAACAAAAATACAAATATTAACAATTCAAATGTAATCAAAATACAACAATGTACAACTAATGCGATCAATAGGAATAAAGTACAAGTATATACATGGAGGGATTTTCACCAACACATAAAACCTTCAAAATGGATCTTACAGAGTCAGCCTTATTTATAACACCAATAAGCTCGAATGAATAGGTATCAGATTACCTTTAATTGATTGGCTCACTTGATAATTAAATGATCGACATTTTGAGGTTAAAGTTAACTTCACTTTCTCTCGGGTTATGATATGTAGTAGTGGGGTCCCCCAGGGTTGATTATTGGAACCTCTTCTTTTCTTGATTTATAAAAACGATCGTCGGATTTGTTTACTTTTCAATGGCATGAAGTATACGACCAAGAGGATATATTGGTACTTCAAGAGAATCTGACTCGATTTCAAAGTTGGGCAGACGATAACGAACTTACCTTTAACAACTCAAAGTGCAAAGTAGTCCACCTGAGACATTTTGCAGATTACAAACACAACCTTTAGAGGCACTCCAAGTTGAAGATATGGGAGTGTTGTTATCCTATGATCTGAAGTTTTACGATGACTCCGAAAAAATGCTTTCAAGAAAACCATGCATTTATAAAATTGACGAACATTTTCGGCCATTTCGACGGAAAAACTTTCCAATTAATCTCCAAAAGTCTTATTCGACCCTGTATAGAGCATGGAAACAATAGTTTCTCTTCACTCCAAAAGGATAAGAATACTCTAAAACATGTACAACGACGACAGACGAAATCAGTTCACAAACTCAAATTCTAGTCTTGTGAAGAGCGCCCACAACCACGGAACTGTTATCCATTAGAGTGCCTTTCTAATGACCTGTAGCATCCTAAACACTTTTAGGCATCCCTTTAACACATAACTAAGCTTTGTCGCAACACAACATCTAGGGGTAGCGGCCAGAAACTGCAGACACAACACGGCCGAATGGAGCGTAAGCACACATTCTACTCCTTAGGAGTAGTTGAATTCCGGGACCCACTGCCGACTGAGCTAGTCCAAGAGATATACCAGGAGTTTTTTGAGAGAAAACCTGACATAATCATAATGTCGCAGGACAGTATTTCGCTATAATTTGCCAGTTTTTCGTCTCTTTTATCAACAATACACCTAAGTTGTTATCTGAGGACAATGTGGTCCACTTCTACCAAATATGGAAGCCCTTTAAGAGAAAGCTCTTTCATTTTGTCCAGAGCCACTTGACCATTGGACACCAGCGAGTGTCACAAAAGGTGCGGTACGTCTCGCACAAATATAATACGTCTAATTGTTCTGTATCAAACAGCGTTTGTTGGATTTAACATATCAGCTATCGCTTATATAGATCCAAGGATTCTGATCTTTCTTTTCATTGACACCAAACATTCTGGTCCCTAAATGACCTCAATCTGACTAGTATTTTTCTCACGAGTTTACATCAGGTTGTTTACCATGCACTATCGTACCTTAGCTTAAATACACGTCAAAATGGTTCAGTTTCCCCACAAGTAATACACATCACAAGGGTACCTATCTTAATATAGCAAAATATGGTGTTCATAAACTGTTGCTCAAACAATTCTATAATATGATTGTAAAGTCTGGTATCTTTGAACTGAGGTTAGTCAGAGGATCTGCTCAGTCGTCTTTTTTTTTCCAACGGTTTTATACATTCAGCAATAAAAAAGCCAGACGGTTTTTGAAAATGGTGGATATTATACTTCAGTAGGGGCTACTATTCAAAACACCGGTTTCAGTGGATTAAGCATGTTTTACAAAACGGATTTCATACTGATCACAGTTCGTTAACACTAAGACTAGGTGGACAACACAAAGATATGACATGTATTAGCAAAATGATTTCTTTATTGAGGTCTTGAATCGCTCAATGATCTCAATAAAAACTAGAAGTCTCCACAACCCCTATACTAATAATTTTAATGTGCTCACTATCGACTAGCTTTGAGAGGTAATTCCCGGAGTTCTAGTGAGAAGCCATGACCAGTAGAGTTCAGATGTGAGGCAGTCATCCATCGAAGACAATGGAATATGGTCGCGCAGTATCGTAAATTGGTTGAAGTGAGACATTAACACGACTGGATGCCGGCTCAGTTGTCTAGAGGTTAAGCGTTTCTGTGCGGGACCATAGGTGCTCACCGTTTAGGAGTCACACTAGGGCGAAACGGCCGTTCAGTGCTCCCAGGTTTTCAATAATGGTCTGACATTGATGGATTCATGACCTCAATAAAAACTCAACAACCTCCAAAACCCAATACTGAGGATGTGTCATTATCAACTCTAGGTTCACTACAACTTTACAGATGTGATGCCTTATCAAGTATGATTCAAACTACAAAATAATGGCCTAGGACGTGCTAGTAGGTTTTGACCACCATGAGATAACTTCGACTAGTGGTCAGAAATGGGTTCGACTTAAAGTTGGTCGCAGTAACTTGGATGCAACGAATCGTTGTCTACGGTGGTTATGACTGACTAATTAGTTCCATAGTAAAATATATGATTGACTTCTGTTCTGATTTCTGGTCATTTTAGATTTCTGCTCAAGTTATTGTGCCTGTCACATGTGTTCGATCGATGGATCATATAAGCATATCCGAAAAACGAAACCTTCAATCGCTATTCCCTATATTCATCCCAATCGTGAGCACTTAGATGAAAGGGCAATTTATGGCTTCATTATATATCTTGTATGTTTTCCTGCATTTGGTGAGTCATCGCTTTCAATTTCCAACAAATGAACCGTGCATTTCATTGCTTGTTACTACTTTTTTTGGTACTACTGTGTACCATACGCGTAGATTCATATTCTAAAAGGATATTTCGTGTCACTATAGCAATCACCATCGTTTTGACCATTATAAACGTACACGAACTTGATTCAAATAAATGTCAATCTATTTTCTAATAATTGTTTAAGGTTCGACCACCAGTTTCTTCATATTATGGTATCAGTTTGTTGCCCCCAAATGCCCTGGTACGGCTGAGAGTGGGGAGAGTCCGCTCACCCTCTCGGAATGCTCTCACAAGGCCACGTGCATACAACCACTTTCAGGGAAGTCCTACTTACTGCCTTCTCGCTGCATTACTGGTGATTACGAAATCGACAACACGAAAAGCGGGTTGGTGACATGGAGAGTCCATCTTGGGGAGTTGGAAAACCTTGACTCCAAACCAATGGTGCACATGGACTCTAGTATTCTGAAGGAACAAATGGCGTATGAACCAATCGTTGGTCACCGTCTACGATGTTCCACTGCCTCGTGGATCAAACCATTGTGTTGAAGGCTCCAGATAAACCCCCCTAAGAAAACCACCTGATTCGGTTTGGGCACCCGTGCAGTATCACAGCCCTCACATAATTCAAATGAGATTTGTGTGGCTCATATGTATTTGGTGCCTCCTTGTGCGAATATCTATGTGTCCAAATAATAATAATAATCAGTTCGTTAGTCTTAATGGTTTGCTTCACTACTATCACTATGATAAAATTAGATTTCGTTTGCAACCAGTCACTGAATGTGACAAATTCATGACCTCTTCAGCCTTACATAAAATAAAGTAACAAAATCTAGACCTAGTTGTATTAATTAAGGTACGTCAGTCAGTCTTAGATAACGTAAGATCTAGACTAGATTTATATCTGTCCAAGTAGTTATGCTACGTTTCAACACCAAAAACAAAGTCAAAGTTTAACTTTTTCCTAAATCTATCCTATGGTGGAGAGTGATTAGCGTCTGCATAGGTGTTTTGCATGCTTATATATGTTCTATGTACCTAAATTGACTTAATTTTAAAACATCAGTTAGTTTCTTGTTTTTCTTTATACCTAAAACCCTATGTTTAATATCAGCATTGCTCATTAGATGGTTTCACCATACACAAGCTATGCTAACCAAATTATCACAACCTATGGATGTATTATACTTTCACGGGTCATGATTTACAATTGATTCCGTTGAACAAATGGTCTGTGTTCTTCATTTTTGTGTATAATCAAATCATATAGTAAGCTGCGTTGACGTCAGGTATATTGTGTAGGTTGGCTAATGAGATCATGAATCCCCATCAGCTGCGACGGTTTGTGTTATGAGTATTAAGATACCTCATTGTTGTGATCGCTGAAGTACAAGTATTTTGGATGCTGCCAATCATTGTTCAGGTTAAAACACGACATCACTTTGTAGAGTTATTGAATTTAAATCTAAGCTTTTTAGCCCAGAAGTAGTTTTACATCTATGCTACTATCCTATAATTTTACTAGCTATCGTTAATTTAACCAGTTTACTATTATTCGGACATTTGGACTGCTTGATTCTGTAGCTTAGCATACTGATCTCAGTCGCTATAAATTCATTTATTTATTTATTTGGACACATGAATATTGGTACAAGAGAGCGCCAATATATATGCGCCACACCGCTATAAATTTACTAACTCGTGTTTCTGAGGTTTGGTCTCAGATGATGTAACCTATGTATTTATTTTGCTTAGATTGTAGTACCTGTTATTGCTTTTAAACGTGACGTCATAATCTCTGTTAATTGTTAGTTTATATCCATGACCCAGAAAATCATAATTTTTGTTTTGTGCTATTTTATACGATTTCAGTATTGTATGTAATTTGGGCATATATTCCACATGAATGGTTGAATTTAATTGGAATAACATACCTACCCAACAAGTAAGCTTTAAAAAAGATTGTTCTTTGATCTGTTAACTGAATTTCACACTAAGCGCCAGTACTTAGGGGACAATAATCAATTGAATCTCCATGAACATTCTTTTTATTGCTGTTAGGTTGGAAGGCTCTGCCAAGGCGAAAAAATGTGACTGTAAATATTGTCTTTTCCTAACCTTCGCGTATGCTGCAAGTTTCAAGCCTAGATCCAATTATGGATGAATTCTACCACCAATTAAAAGACATCGGATAAGCGAGTTCGACATGTTGTAGTTCTAGAATAAGCTTCGAATGTGCAGGTCAGGTGTCTACGCATAGAGGAAATTCGTTTAGGTGGTCAGTGGAGACGTGGATCAAATAACAATAACTGCATCTTCCAGCTTTGCGTAGACCATATCCTTTTTCAAACCAGTACCAACTTTCGCAGGTCACCACTAATGTTCTGCCTGACATCCTTCCTCTTTAAATCAAGCCTTGGTTGGAATTGGTCACATTGCGATCAGTTACCAATGACATGATTGTGTACAAGACGTGCTTGCTTTGGGACCCCTATCCTGACAGTGACTATGATCTGATTTCCATCAAGCTTATATTGAGTTCCAGTGTCTGATAAGCTTATTGTTATATCCTAGTGAAGATTACATCACAAGTAACGTCTGAGATCTGTTAATGGACTAATACTATTTATATATTCTCATGGTATAAATATTCAGTAACTAGATTATGTATATCTATATTCCCCTTGTTATAAGCTTTATTTTGACCTATAATTTATTATTGTACGATTTACTGTTCTTAAACTATGTGCAGTTTATTGACTACTGCATCCCACGTTCATAGCCAGTTTTTGGCTTTATTGTGTATGAATGTTATTTCCTATTTTATGGTGCGTTGCGGTCTGTTTGTTTGACATATAAACCCAGTATGTCTGAAATAAATGATTTTATTCGATTCGCATAGTGGAAGCTAGTATTGGTGTTCTGGACTCAAGGCTACTCATACCGGTCGAACTTCATTGGTTTAGCACAGTGTAAAGATTGTATAAGTCGTATTTTGACTGGTGGATAAATAACGTGATAACTGGCCGGACATAAAGTCACAAAACTTATTGTCCTAAACGAATTGCAACAAGCAATTTACCTACAGATTTTGCTATAATCAAAAATTGAACCGAATTAGGTTCACTGCTGACTACCAACTCACCGGCAGGTGTGCATGAGCACTGGTCGCCTTGTATGATGCTATAAAAATACTGGGCTCTTGATAAGAATAGTGCTGGACTGGCTAAATTGTTTGGAAAGGTTTTGGAAATTGGTCGTGAAACGAAACGATCGTCATCCTCATCTTTGTTGTGATGGATTCTGTGGATTGCTGCCTGTCCAAATTTTAAATAATAACCCACATTGTTCATCTAATTGAAATTGAAATGCTCTGTCTTAGTATAAAGACCTATTACCTTCAACATGTTTGACATTCAATCGCTAAATCATCTACCACAGTAATTAGATCAATGTTTAACTCCAACCAAACAAAATTTCAGCCAAAATCTATACAATGCGGACACTAAATATCATTTAATATAGATATGCAATAAATCGTAGAATATTTTGTGGCCCTTAAGCTAGACAAAACGAGATACATCTCTATATTCTAGTTTTATAGACATCCAAACATATAACTTTAACAACTTAGTGATGCTGTCTTATTTTGTACTGGTAGGTGGTAACTTTTATTCAAATCCCTATAGGTGCATCAGTTTGTACAAAATTATCAATTCACTTACTTAATGGCTATTAATGACTATGCAAACCCGTGTCAGAATCCTTCTGCCACTTTTTCATCGGGTATCTAAAATTAAATCAAATGTACTTTAATGTTGATCAAGTTTGTCAAATAGATTTATTGAATATTTACTTAATATATTTTGTGAAGATTTTAAGAGTTAGAACGGAAGGATTGGCGAAACAGGAAGCGATCGTTGATCCTCGAGTTGCCAACGAAGGTCTTTTACGTAGAACGGTACCAGGAGAAGCATGCTGTATTTGTTGCTCGAGTTAGTATACCACACCAGAGTGGTTTATATCCAAGGCCTGAAGATTGCGTTCGTAGGGGTTCGGACCAGAAACGCTGCAGACGTAGGACGAAACTGCGTTGAGCCAAGGAGCCAGAAGCGACCACAACAACCAAGTGAAAAACCAAATATAGGCCAGGCAGATTCGAAACCTGAACATCGACTGAGTGCGTTGACAAGAGCGTGGGTGGCCAGACCAGCTTTCGCCAAGGTTGACTGAAGTCGACGGTACCAAACGGGTGATGGTCGGAGGCGTGGGCTCAGGATACAAAAAAATTCAAAAGAAAAGAGAAAAAGTGTAGCATGCATGTAGTATAGGAATAGTCCGATACCGTATCCGCTGTTGATTGCACGGTTAGTCGCGAAAGCGTACGGGCAAACGTACTCGGCGACTAGAACGCGAGACGGTAGTCTCGTTCGTACTTCGTGAGCCTGAAATCTCATCCGAAGTCAAGGGCGGCGTGGTCTGCCAATCTGGACGTGAGACTGAAGTCTCGTCCGTAGATGGTGCAGAATACACGTGCCGTTGACCGGGACGTGAGAATGAGGTCTCTGATGTATCTAGCGTGGGACCTGAAGTAGACGTAAGGATCCCGCTATTAGATTTGATAGGTCTAGCATTGGGTCTCAAGTTATCGAGTAGGGCACTGTTATCGACGTGTGCTGGTTTGGGACGATCAATGCTGACGATCTCGACGCGGCTATGTCGACCAACCTTGAAGGTCTTTCCGTGACGAGAAATCACGTGAAAAGGTCCTTCGTAAGGCTGTTGCACGGGTTCGCGTATCGAATCTACTCGTATGAAAACATGTGAACAGGTAGATAACTCTCGAGGGAGAGCAACCTGTCGATGCTGTATACGAGTTGACATCGGAGGCAGTGTTCGCATAAATTCAGACAGTCGATGGACGTAGTCTGATTTACCGAAATCGTTACTGCCCCGTGATGTGGAAAATTCCCCAGGCAGACGCAATGTCCTGCCGTACACAAGTTCAGCGGCGAAACATTGGATATCTGCCTTCAAGCTCGTTCAGATACCTAAGAGGACAAGCGGTAAGGTTTCGTACCAATTGTCGTTTTCGTGTGCTCGAAGAGCACTTTTAAGTTGGCGATGAGACCGTTCAACTAATCCATTTGATGCAGGGTGGTAGGTTGTAGTGCGTTTGCGTTCCGTGCCAAGCAGCCGGGTCAGTGAGGAGGATAATGCGGATTCGAATTGTTTTCCTCGGTAGGTCGTGACAGTCGAGGGACAACCGTACAGTGCTATCCATCGTTCTACGAAGCGGTGAGCAACTGTCTCCGCCGTAATAGACGTGATGGGAATAGCTTCGGGCCATCTTGTAAAACGATCGATGCACGTGAGTATGTGATCATACCCATGCGATGGTGGTAGTGGTTCTATAATGTCTATGTGAACGTGATCGAAGAGAGCATCAGGCGTAGCGAAAGTGCCAAGGGGGGGGGCGGCTACATGCCTGTGCACTTTTGATCGTTGACATTGTAAGCATTGCTTCGTCCACATACGGACATCTTTATTCATGGACGGCCAGACGTATCGTGCAGCGATGAGACGTAATGTAGCTGCGATACCTGGATGAGACAATCCATGCAGGACATCGAAGACGAGACGACGGTAAGCAGAGGGTACGATGGGTCGGGGAAGACTGGTAGAAGTATCACATAGGATAGTACCTCAGCTAGTAGCTAGGGATACTTCCTGGCAACGAAGGGATGTAGATTGTGGTGCTTCTGTACAAAAAGGATCGTTTGCTTGAGCGGCAGCCATAGAAGAAAGATCGAGCACCGGTGAAGTAACTGCATTCACTTGGATACGTGACAGAGCGTGGGGAATTTTCCACATCACGGGGCAGTAACGATTTCGGTAAATCAGACTACGTCCATCGACTGTCTGAATTTACGCGAACACTACCGCCGGTGTTAGCTCGTATACAACATCAACAGGTTGCTCTCCCTCGAGAGTTATCTACCTGTTCACATGTTTTCATACGAGTAGATTCGATACGCAAACCCGTGCAACAGCCTTACGAAGGACCTTCTCACGTGGGGCTCATGTAGTGACCTACGTTTATCAAGAGGACGCGATTGGCTTATTGGAAACAATTATTACTATAACTAATTGTACCAGTAATTGTTTTTACTCTGCTTGTTTGTTTAACTGTACTAAAGACATCCATTACTCCCCCATCATTCTTCCGTTGACTGTGACCTTGTACGCTCGCACATTCGCCCATTGATTCCACTGGTATTTCCCTCGGCACGATCTTGGTATACTTTCGATACCACGAGATCGTCAACGAATAAATCTGGTTACAATCTTTCGCCTTTTGATTTTCTGGTACGCGCTCATCTTGTAGTGGTGATCATAGTCAACCTCGACTGTACTGTACCGTGTTCGAATACACTAATGCAAACAGATTTATTCATCAATCGAGTCTCACCTAAGCAGTTATGTTAGTAATATTTTATTCATATAATTACATTCTGAATTTGTTAAATAACTTTGCTGAAATATAGTATTTAAAAAATTTTAGACACTGGTCAGTTACTGCACCAATCTCACTACTGATTATATGTATATCTGGTCTTTTTGCTTATATTTGGAATAATCGTTCACTCATGCAACCGCTTACATCGATTTATCAAATTAGAGGTATGTAGATCTCGAAATGAAAATGCTTTTCAAAACATTTTTTATTGATCAATAAATTCATGTACAACTTGTGTACCAAATTCTTCCTAGGTATTTGCTGGTGTTAATAAGTGGGAATTTTGTTCCACACCTCGTATCTTGAAAGTTTACGCAGTGAAATCATGATATGCTATTCCGATATCCGTTGTCATTTGCTTAATCAATAATCTAATGCGCGTCAAAAGCCATGACAAGAGAATGTAACATATAATGAAATAAAAATAAGTAGGCTCTCAGCTCAACGATCTTTCTTACAATGATCTAGTGCTAAATTTTTATCCCTAGTCAGTCGATTGATATAAACATATGATATTCAATGTAGAGTTTTGAATTTGTGACTCATTACAACTTATTTCATGTTTTGCTACATGTGACATGGAGGACTTTATCAAAAGTACGTCGAATTATATTTATGTATGACTTCAAAATCTCAGCGATAAATGAATTTACATTACATTTTCTTCATGATAACTCTTTAATTCGTTTATGTTTTAACTTTAGCTCTCCCTCGTTTGCTATATTCAATCATTTCTACAGTCTTCTATTGAAGCGAGTGATATTCCTTTGTCGCTGCAACCAAATATCATATCTAATAATACTTTTATTTCAATGTTTTTGGATTGACAAATGTTGAAAATAGAATTTTATAAGAAATCACAGACTGATGCTTGACAATATATTTCCGATTCAATAATAAAATCGACGAAAGAAACATGAATGGAATCATCAGCATCTGGATTCATGCCCCAAAATGCCCTGGTACGGCCGAGAGTGGAGAGAGTCCAAGCCAATGGTGCGCATGGGCTCCAGTATCCTAAAGGAACGAATGGCGTATGAACCAGTCGTTGGTCATCGTCTACCATGGGGCTGCATCTGCTGACGTTGCTCCACTGCCTTGTGGATTAGACCTTCAGGTCGAAGGCTCCGGGTGTGGCAACCTAAGAAAACCACCTGATTCGGTTTGGGCACCCGTGCAGTATCACAGCCCTCACATAATTCAAATGAGATTTGTGTGGCTCATATGTATTTGGTGCCTCCTTGTGCGAATATCTATGTGTTCAAATAATAATAATAATAATAATAATAATAATAATAATAATAATAATAATAATAATAATAATAATAATAATCTGGATTGATTAAAGGGACAGTTAAATCAACACAATATATCATCCATTGAGAAAAATCATGGTTAGTAATAGGGTCAGAAGTTATGTAAATGGTGATGATAACCAAAATAAATATGCAAACGATGACAGAGTGAGGGTTAATAACAACCAGTCAAGATCAAAGTCGACAGAACAGCGTGTTAGTCATGTGAGGAAAAAAATCAGATGGTGTTGTCCAGAAGGACGAAGAAAGCTTTGCGATTAAAGAGAACTCTACAAAAATCTTCCACTTGAACTCTAAATCCTTACCTCAAGATTTATTATATTTTAACAATCCTGTTATTGTTTCAGATTCACTTTCAATGCATGCTCAAAATCCAACTGATAGTTATGTCACAGATCAACAGTCTAATTCAAACGTATCAAAACCAGTGGAATTATTGAGACCATTATCGATAATCCCCCCTGTGTATGATTTGGATCATATTTGGGTGACAAGCGAGTTGTATTTAAAGACAAATAAAGTTACCACCTCAAGCATTATTGACCATGATAATATGAAGCGTTAACAAAACAGAAAGGATAAGATTTTGTTTTTGTAAATTATTAGGTGTTGATTGCTGTAAATATTTTGGATCTTCATTATTGACGTTCCCTGCAAATCATATCCGTATAAAGTTTTCCGACAATGTAAATATACCTTCTTATTTAAGGCTAAGGACGTCACGTTCTTTGTGATTGTGTTTTTCAGCTGATGGTCAGTTTTTTTAACAGTTAAACTTCAACAAATTAATTGTCATCACTGATTTTCATGCTAAACAACATATTTAGGAAACTTATACGAATATTCGTCAATATTAGAACGGATATTTTGGCAAAAATTGGGCGCCCAGTATAGAGAAGTCATTATATATGGAAATTATATTTGAAATAATCTCAGCGATTGAAATTTAAATGATTCCAACGTTTCGTCCAGCTAACTTGTCTGGACTTCTTCAGGGTAGAATAATCAAAATCATCAAACAAATATATAGCTTTTTAACAATCAAAACTATACTGTGTTAAACCGTATTTGGATGTTGATTTTTGTAAAATAGGATAACATGAGTCAGTTTACATGGTAATCATGTGGAAAATTCAACATGGAAATAATTAACTGAATAACAAATTGCATGTGTGTGAGTGTGTAGGTATGTCTATATGTGTGAGATTAATTATTGATATTTGGTGTTAATATGTTATGTATAAAGGAATAAATAAAAGTGCATGTTCAAGGTTGAACAATGGTTTCTGTATCTATGTCCTTGTCAAATTTAAGAATCAACAAATACGTAATTGTATTTCTAAAAACTCATTAAATTCAGTCCAAATAACGATGCATGTGAAATAAACAAGTTGAATAAAGAAAGGGTTCAAATTACTTGTCAACCAAAATTTGCCAGGTAGTTGCTAGTTGAATACCATCCTTTCGGTTCAAGCTGTTCTTGTTCATTCATATATACAGCGCTTCCGCTGTCGATCTTTCTTTATGATTGTTAAAACCTTTCTGAAGTATTTTGGTCCCTTCAAAATTAATCTTGTGTCCTGTTTCTAACACATGTAACTCTATCGCAGACTTATTCTCAAGTTTCTTCAAAGCAATCGAGGATTTGGGAACATTTTCCAAACATTGTTTGTGTTCCTTCAAACTTACATTAAATTGTCTGGATGTTTCTCCCACATAAGCTGCATTACAATCATGACAGTTGATTTCATGCACAATATTTTGGTAACCTGTCCTTAACTTTCACTAATGTCGATCTTAAGGTGTTACTCGCCTTAAAATACACTCTTATATCATGTTTGTTTAGAATCCGCTTGGTTTCTTCCGATGTTTCACTACGGTATGGGATGACTAAGGTGTACTTCCAAACTTTTCGTATACATTCTAGTTTAATTTTTCTCTCATTTTTAACAATCTTCTTTAAAAACTCTTGGGTAGTTTTTATCCCTAAGAGTAGAAAATGCTTTATTCGATTCAGTTCGTTGGTCTTCCTTATCTGTAACAAGCTTAGTACTTCTGTTCATTAATTTTTTTTACAACATTAACTTTCGTGCACTGCACATGAGCCGAATCATAATCTAAGCAATGAGTGGGACTTCCCTGGCAGTGACTTTATACGCATGTTCATTTGAGTGCATTTCAAGAGAGACCTGACTCCCTACTCTCGGCTGTACCAGAACATTTACAGTCACTTTGACTAGTATAACCTTCACTATAACTTTAGGTCTCGTTGAACTATTGAAGTAAGATAAAAGTCGCTCATACATGCACATGTCACAATTTAAATATGTTGATTGACTTACAGAATCTCTGTCATTCAGCAACAGTGTAGGACCAGGCACATATATGCATCGGTCCAAGTTGCCACACCTCATTAGCACAGCAAGATGAACACTGGATCCATAGAAATAGTTAATCCAGTGGTGGCAATATATAAAAGAAAGATTGCATATAGAGACAGTACAGGAAGAGAGAATTAGTTCGTAGAAAGAAAGATGTGAATCGATTTTAATCTCATAGTTTAAGGGAAAATAGAGAGTATATACATCTACGCCATTGTTGTTGCTACCTTGACGTAGTGGTCAGGCTTGCCTATCGTGATGAACCAGTCGAGCTACGCTGGCTGGAAAAATTGTTATTCAAGGTTCTACCATGCCAGATAGGTCGGTTGAAGAACGGTTAAACTAAAAGCAGTAAACCTAAGGTCCGAAGGCGAAGCCGTACTTCTGACTGTACAGAGGTGTAACGGCAGTAAGGTGTTTCCTTCAGACAACCAGCATAACAGCGATTCTACCTTCCGATAAGGAAGGGTGGGGTTAGAAAAGGTCAACCCTAAAAATGCGCACCTCGCCTTATCCTACGGATATCCGTCTCCGGCGGTAAGGTCTCAACAAGTACGGAGCTAACACAAAAATTACTCATAAAAAGGTCGTGTGTGACTGACCTCAAGCAGTTGTCCCTTGGGTACTGAGGTCACGCTCTCAGGTCACTAATGCCACTAATCCAATTTAATTTTCAGGTACCTCCAGTAGAACCATAGCCAACGATTCTAGCGCGCAAAACACTGTCCCAGGTCTACTGAAACCTCGCTCCAAACTACACATTGGAGCCTGCAACGTACGCACCCTATGTCAAATAGGCCAGCAGGCCTCCTTGGCTAAAACCCTAGAATCTCGTACTATTGATGTATGTTATTTCTTCAAAACACGCATACAGGATCCTAGTGTGGTCATTCACTTGACCTCACCTTGCCAAAATAGACAGCCGACGAAATACACGCTCTGTGAATCTGGCGACCCGATGGCTAGTTCTCGTGCACTGGCAGGTGCAGGCATAGCACTAAGTACGAGGGCGGAACGACCATTGACAGAATTTGACCAACTGTTTATTTTTGAGTTATCTTCGACGTGTTCATCTTTGAATTATCTTGACTTCTATCAGGAAAGTCTACGCTTGTAAACATAAGCTGGTGTCGATCTTCGTTTGTGTGTTTTAAGTTTTCAAATGACTTTATCGACTGTCTAACTCTAAGATGTCGTCCAAAACATCTGAATAAATACAAATATGTTTATGTTACCAATATCTACGTGACTCCAGATTGCACATCATCTGCACTATCTGTTTTTGCTGATGAATTCATTGAGTTCGCTGTTACTGCCTTCAGTGATTCACTTTCAGTTGTATGTGGTGATTTCAATTCATGTGACTGTAGCTTCCTTACGTCACTAGGTCACCAAAATGTAGTGGATTTACCTACCCGTTTGGATGCTCATCTAGACTTCGTCTTCATTAATGATGTGGGTATATATGCGACTCGTAAACGTGCTCCATTGTCTAGTTCAGATCACTGTATAATTCGTGTTCTACCTAAAGTATATGGAAAGCATGGGAAGAGTACACTCTTACGTCAAAACAGGAAAGTCAAATATAGGAATTACTCAGAAGAAAATATCCGAAATCTGAAAAATATGTTTCATACGACTAACTGGGAATTATTTACAGATGACTCACTCGAAAACACTACTGATGTTATCACTTGTTACCTTAAATTCTGTTTTGATATTTGTTGTCCCACTGAAACCATTTTTGTAAGTTTTGATCGACTTACATCTTCACAACTAAAACGACTACGAAGGATGAAAGAAAGAATGTACAAGGAGAAGAACTCTAATGAAGTTCGTAAACTAAATGGTCTGATAAACCTAGAGATTAGACGTCTCAACTGTATGTTTACTCAAAAGCTCTTATCTTGCAAAAACTCCCCAAGTATGTGGAAATTCTTTAAAGAACTTACAGATGACAGAAAGTTTAGAAGCGATAACCAGCTGAATGTTTGTGACTTAAATAAGTCTTTTGTACGTCAGTCATCTGATGTGATGCTCCCTCTATCCACGGGTTTAAAAAATAACTGTGTTCCTACTTTCACTGAAACTGATGTACGAGGATGTCTCCAGTCGCTTAATTCATTTCGATGTTTGGGACCTGATGGTATCCCAAACATCCTTTTTAAAAAATGTGCTGACGTTCTGTGTCATCCGTCCACAACTATATTTAACAGATCCTTCTCATCTAATCTCATACCGAAAATGTGGAGAAAGATGAAGATAATTCCTGTACCCAAGAAAGGATTTGGTGATAAGAATGTAAAATTTAGACCTATTGCAATAACTTCACCCTTCCTCAAAACCATGGAAAAATTATTAATACTTCCACTTCAGCCTGCGATAAAAGAGCATACTGACCCATACCAGTTTGCATACGGGCGCAAAAGAAGCACTTTAGATGCTGTTGCAGTTCTGCATCACAACATAGTGTTCAACTTAGAAAAGGGTAAGAAGTATGTTCGATGTGCTTTTCTGGACTATACTTCAGCTTTTGACTCTATACCAAGACAACGTTTACTTAACAAGTTAATCAGCGTCAACACTGACAGCTGGATAACCAACTGGCTATGTTCCTACCTCTCTGGAAGGGAACAGTACATTGTGTTTGGAGGAAAGAGTTCAGAGTCTCTACTGTCTCATGAAGGTGTACCACAAGGAGCTGTTCTTTCACCTCTTCTATTCTCCTTTTTTCTGCATGACCTGCCATCTTCCACAGAAAACACTTTTGTGAAGTATGCGGATGATCTCACTGTATGTATGCCTATATCTTCCTCTTTACATCCCATAGAAATGAATGAGTTTTTGTCTCGTATTGATTGTTGGTCTGTTGGTAATGGTCTCATACTTAATCCATCTAAATGTCAAGCTGTTAACTTTAGTATGAGACATGAACGGAATATAAACACTATTTTGAGATCCCATAGTGCTTGTACCATCGGAGACTCTTTGATAAACTCAGTGTCGAAGGTCAATTATCTTGGTGTCACCTTTTCCTCTGATCTGTCTTGGTCTTCCCACGTTTTATCGTTATCAAAGAAGGTTTTCCGTCTGACCTACTACATAAAGAGATTGCATGCTCTTGGAATTACTCGTCATTTTCTCTTACAATTTGTCAATTCTTGCATATTACCTATTATTCTTTACTGTTCTCCATTATTCTTTCCCGGGCTTTTGAGAAAAGACTTTGCTGTATTGCGAAGAGTGCTAAAGGCAGTTAGTAAGACGTGTGGTGAATCTTTCGAGGTCATAATTAATATGGTTGTGGACAGACATTTAAAATCATGCAAACTCCTGGCAGCTGTCATTTTATCAGATACTAGCCATCCCCTTCACTCTTATCTTTCTCCTTGTATATCTTCTGGTAGGACGAGACGTAATTACATTAAAATCCATGCACGCAAGAAAAAGTATAAAAGTTCTATAATACCTTACCTAGCAAATATACTCTGTGACGAACAGGTTGTTAGAATTAACTTAGTCAATAACTTACATTCTTAACATGTCTTTAATTTTAAAAGTTTGTAGTTTCTTTTGGGTTTTTTTTTAAATTTTTATTTTATATATTTCTTTATGTATTCGCTACTGCCTTTTTTGTTCGTTGTTCAGTAAGTAACTTGTTGAAATACCCCGTGCTGAGAATTCTATATTGTACCAAAATATAATATTGAATAAAGCCATTAATAATAATAATAATAATAACCTTGATTCTAGTTACATTGACGGTACTATCATATTTCAATTCTTTGGGTTTCTAAAAAAACTGATTCTTATGTGACATATATTCTCTCAAGAACCTACTTAGAGGACAACACTTCTGTTTGACTGCTACCAAGCTGATATGATGGGCAAGTATTTGGTTTAACAGTCAGTTCTTGATTGAAGTGTAAGTGATCTATGAACTAATATCATGCAGTCGCCTATGACATCTTATCGCGTTATTTCCTTGTGTCAGCATTTTGTTTATAGACGCATCATTTTATTTCATGAAAATATTCTTTTGGCTAGTGGTCTTGTCTTTTATTTCAAAACACTCAAGCCCCTTCGTCAATAACCCAGTCTGGCGAGCAGCCATCACTCGTCGACATCATAGTACTGCATATCACCTGTCAATCGGCTTCATGTTCTTTCATTCCGATAGTAGAGAATTTGTTCATCTTATCAATAAAATCCTCCATAACTTAAATGTTCCCCATATTTATAATAGGTTCTGCTAATACTTACTATCAACAGAAGTCAGAAGTGTGGATGGGAGTTCCGCTACCCATTGCTACGTAGTATACTTTCATACCAACTAAACTTCAGTTTATATCTCCTAACACTTACAACAAAACACCATTTGATCAGCATAACAAGTGACAATAAATGTCAATAAAATAATTTTATTACAATACCTAAAGTTTCAGACTTATATGTTTGAAATAAACCTGTGTTTACATTCATGCGTATTGATTCGAAAGATGTAATACTACAACGAACATAAGTAATTTCTAGTGACAAATTTTCGTTTAGGTACTCTTAATTAAGGTTAATAACTTACATTACTCAGAAGAAGGCAAAAATTGAATATCTAATTTATTTTTAATCACTTAAAATGATTATCAACATCCTTTATTAGTTCATTCAAAATGTTTAAAGAAAACCAAACAAAGTTATTAAGAATAGTTGTTGAACTCATTCCCATACTATGTAGTTGTGATACTGACGTTATGGTCGATATACTTCAAGGCCATCATCGTATCTTATGAGATCTGATAATACGTTAAAAATTTTAATTATAAGTTTGTTGTTTACTCAGCATAAAGCAATTTTAGTACCAATGAAAATTAGGTTCCGATCATAATGGTTATTAAATAACTTTCACTAAATTATGAAAATACAATCTACAGTAATTTTGATTAGCATATTTCAATATTTTTAATTTTATGTGTGAACTATGGTACCGGATTTCCAGGGCCGGAATCAGTAACATTAAGTAATTCGACTAGGGGGATCTAATCAAATTATTCCCGATACGAATCATAATGGTAGATATAATGTGTTGTTTTTTCTGCTTGAGAAATCTAGATAAGTAAAAATGATATATTTGTAGTATCCAAATAAGTAAAAAAATATAGTTTTCTGACGTTTCGTGACTCAGTGTAAGCCACTTTTCAGGGAATAAATAACTAAATTAAATTAACCCAAGTTTAAGTAGAAGAAAGCAAGAATACCGGGTGCGATCAACCAAAAGCAGGTCTAACTAAGTAAATGTCACGTCATTCCGGTCAATGTGATTTATATGAGGCATGTTCGTACTTTGTATGTGTGTGTGTGTATGGGATGAAAAAATGTGACATTTTTGGGAAAGGATAGAGTTTAATTTGTAACTTAGATAGATGGTCCAAGTCGGATGAATGGTGAAGCCTTCTTTTCTATTGAGGGCAGTGGAATTAGTTGTAGTTGAAAAAGCCTTTTTGTATTATCTTGATGTTTTTGATATCGATATGATGGTTGTTGAAAATGGCATGAACTGCTATTGCCGATTTAATTTGCAGTCTTTCCAGTTCTACAAGGTTATTAGATATACCTAAGGTGTTCTTTGGCTCGAGTCAAGATTTCACGATATGACTCTCCAATACAAAAGGCATCACAGTCAACACATCTTAATTTGTAGACTCAATTCTGAGTTGACACAAAGGGGACATTTTCCTTTACGCGAACTAAAGTATTTTGAAGGGTGTTTGTTGTTTTGTAATATTCTTTAGTTCTGTGTTGTTTTAAGACTCTGGAGTTCTGCTGTGTCATGGCGGTATGATAAAACTACAGTACTAATCCATGACGTTTCATTCGGTTTATTACTTAGCAGTAACACGTCTCGTTTTATTGCGCTTTTAGTAATCTTCATAGGAAAATTAAGTTGTAAGATGTTAATTGTGTGCTTTTGTTCTTTTTGTTTGTCCTCTTCAGATGTAATAATTTTGTTTGCTCTTCTAATTTTTAGAGAATAAAAAACTCATATTTTCTAGCAGAAACTAATATTTACCTTTACAGTTCTACTTATTATTGACTTTGAAGACTATGATGCTTAATACCTTTATTTTCAAAGAACAGGAAAAACACAATCTAGTTGGAACTTACATCCCAATAGTTGAAATAGCTTCCTATTGTCAAATGAAAAAATGTTTGTTAGTTAAAAAAATTCACTACATATAATTAACATTTTCAAATGGGTAAAAATTATTTTTGTTTTGGTGTTGATAAATACTTTTAATCATTCTGAATAAGCCACTGATATTGATCATTTGTAATAAGATTTACTATAATACAATTAATAAATACTAATAGAAAATTATTAGTGAAGTCGGGGATGAGGGCAGATGCTTACTTGCAGTGTTGGTTGTTCTTTACGTGAATACATTATTGATTTATTTATTTTAACACATAGATATTGGTACAAGGAGGCACCAAATACATATGAGCCACACAAATCTCACTTGATATGTGTAAGGGCTGTGATACTGCCCGGGTGCCCAAACCGAATCAGGTGGTTTTCTTAGGTTCCCACACCCGGAGCCTTCGACCTGAAGGTCTAATCCACAAGGCAGTGGAACATCATAAGGAGATACAGTCCCATGGTAGACGATGGCCAACGATTGGTTCATACGCCATTTGTTCCTTCAGAATACTAGAGTCCATGTGCACTATTGGTTTGGAATCAAGGTTTTCCAACTCCCCTAGATGGACTCTTCATGTCCACCAATCCGGTTAAAGCGCCGGACATTCGCTTTTCGTGTTATCAATTTCGTAATCACCAGTAATGCCACGAGAAGGCAGTGAGTATGACTTCTCTGGCAGTGGTTGTATGCACGTGGCCATGTGAGAGCGTTCCGAGAGGGTGGGCGGACTCTTCCCACTTTCGGCTGTACCAGGGCATTTGGGGGCACGTGAATACATCAAATGAAGGGTACACATAAATAACCATACCACCTTTATAACTGAATTCTTTAGTAGTCTAGGATCCGTGTTGTTATTAGTCTTTACCAAGCAACAATAATGATCTTATTTACGATTTGCTTTAGACAGTGTTCCTTTCTTTAAAACACAAAGATAAACTTTCTATAGATCCCAACTTTTATTCACTAGCTTACTAATTTAGTGAGACTCCTCGAAAAAAAATCACTTCTTAGATAACTCATCTATAACTATGAATCTAGAAAATGAAACAAATAACTTACTCAGCCAAGTAGTATGGCGGACTGGTAAAAGTAATTACAAAATGTAATTTGAAATTGAAATTCTGTTCAGTTTACCAGATACTGAGAATTAATTGTAAGTAATACATGTCAAGTATTGTAAGTGTTTTCTTTTTCAAGTTCACTAGTGATACATCAACTATCTTAAGTAAAAAATAATTCCTGATCATGGCTATTAATTCATATCTAAGCTAAAATATTTACTGATCTTAATAAAATCAGATGATGTAATCGGTTATTGAAAACATACTGTTAATATTTCTTTTAGAAGATTTGCTATATTTTTTCTAAATAGTGGGGTTTAATGTGTAGAATGAATAACATTCACAAAGTTAGGAACGACGTTCAGTGCTAAATGGAGCGAGGAAAATAACATATAGGCCCTCTAATATTACGTACTAGTACCTCCATTTATATTGAGGTAATGATATACATTATTTGTGCTAAAAAGACGGTCGTAAGTTTCTGACTAGAAGGTACAAGGCTTGAATACTGTGGGTAAAGATTATACTTTTTAAAAAGTAGTACTTTTCACTTGTTGTTGATTGGCTCAATTAGTTTTGAGGCAAACTGGTAACTATGATTACGATAAACTTGGGTTTATTAAAAATGAACTTCCCAATTCCGTATAGAGGCTATTCACCATTGCAATCTTATACTACATAATCTTGGCATTATTCATATTTCTTATGTGCAACAGTTGACAAATGAGCTGTTTTAAATGTCTCCTATTTTTATCTCATTTATACGTCTGGTGACTGAGTTGACATTTAAGTCATATTCGAATTTATTCTTAGTGGGACAATTTGAAAATAATTACACCTAATTGGAAAAACTTAGTCTGATGTATTGATGATTGACGATAATAAAAATCATTATGTTCTCCAATTTAAGTATTTATTTCACAATATAATTTTTTCAATCTTAATTTAAATATAGTGATTGTTATATGCATTTCATTGACTGTATAATACTACTCATGAATAAGTCTATGAATCACTAAAACCTCTTTGTCATTAATTTATAAAATTACACCAAGTTACAGTTTCCAAGATTCAAATATTTTAATCATATAACAATATAACCTTCGAGATTAGGTGATAATGATTATAAAAATTGTATTTGAGATAATCGCTTGTCTAAATACATTCAAATGTTGCTTTTGAATCGAGTAAAACTATGAAATGTAACGGACCAAATGAACTCTTTGAATAGGTAAACAATGTTTATATATCCAGTTCATTTTAAGAGACATAAAAACGCACTTTCATGCAATTCACTATGACTACGTGTGTCTATACGAATAATTTCGTCAAATATACTGTTGTCAGTTTAGAGCTTGTGGAGATTGTTAAGTTTTTTTGGATTGAGATCATGAACCGATTGATGTTAGACCACCATTGTAAACCTGGGAGCACTTGACGGCCGTTTCTTCCTATCGTGGGACTCCTCAGCAGTGCGCATCCACGATCCCACCCGCGGGATTCGAAGATGGTCGCGCAACTTCGTGGATTGGTTGAGGTTAGACATTTACACCATTGGATGCCGGCTCAGTGATCCAGTAGGTTAAGCGTTCATGCTCGAGACTGAAGACCCTGGGTTCGAATCCCGCGAGCAGGATCGTGGATGCGCACTGCTGAGGAGTCCCACAATATGAAGTGCTTCTAGGTTTTAAATGGTGGTCTAACATCAATCGGTTCATGATCTCAATAAAAAAACATACTGTTACTTTGATAATAAACAAGAAAAAATTATGTCGATATCCAATTGGTTCCCTAAATTCTTAATTATAGTAATATGCTGGTATATACGTTTTATATTCCGGATTTTGTTGGCATTCCACATCAAATGAATTTAATTCTCTCTGTCCACAGAATTAACTGTTGAACATGTTTGGACATGCATTCGGCATTAATGGTTTTAAGCTTGATGCATCGTTGTTAACATTTTTGTTATTGAACAGTTAACCCACTCATATAGAAGCTAAGTACCATTAATTATCTTAATTTATTACTAATTAAAGTCTGTTACTTCGGGAATTGATTTTTCCAAATAGATGAGCCGACTGAAACAACATTATAAACCTACGATTAGAACCATCCAATAAAAATGAGGCATTATCCACAGAACTTAACCAATCAAATTGCAGCAAAAAACGATAGGTATTAGTGAAACAGTGACTACATAATTGGTCTGGGTCACATACTAAAAGAGCTAGTCGAATCAATCACATGAGTAGTTTTTGAAAAAAAATAAAAAGGGGTATTGTGGAGATTTTTTAGAAATTTTAATAATTGAAATCATGAGTCATTTGAAGCTAGACTTCGTGGATTGGTTGAAGTTAGATATTAACACCGTTGGATGCCGGCCCAGTGGTCTAATGGTTGGGCGTTCGCGCGCGAGACTGATGGGTCCTGGGTTCGAACCTCGCGGGGTGGGATCGTGGATGCACACTGCTGAGGAGTTCCAATAATAGGGTGAAACGGCGGTCCAGCGCTTGCAGGTTTTCCATGGTAGTCTAGCTTCAATTGACTGATGATTTCAACTATTGAAAAATAAAAAGGGTTGAAATTTATGAATTTTATTCCCTACCATCCCGTCCCGTACGAAACTTGTCAACCCGTATTACCTATGTGCATACTAAACTTTTAAAATTTCATTCGCAAGGAAAATGCCAATCTTATTGGTTCAATTACCATTGCAGTTGAAGTAAGCGCCTAGCCAATTAGATAATCAGATTTCTAGGGGGCAATGTTTCATTTCCATAAACGATTAACCGTCCAACAAACTCTTCTGTTAAAAATTCATCACCTACAAACACCACAGATTCTTAGCCTTGCTAACGGAAATAGATTTAATGAATGGGGTCAGAAGAATTACAGATTGATACTAAAGTCGAAAGATCACCATCTTTATTAACCTGAAAGAAGATTTTCTACTGAACGTTTAGATCTACGCTTTTATTAGTCGGAGAGGAATAGGCGGAATTTAAGGAAGTGAGGTAAGAATCAAACAGTTTCATACTTCAAAATAAAATTATTGCACACTGCACATCGCTCCTTATGATAGTAGAAGAAAAAAGACAAAACAGAAAAATTTCACAGATTGGTGCTGTGACCACAAGAGAAAATTTGATGAAAGCATTATAGAAAGACAAGATAGGAATTTGATTCACACCAACTTGGTTAAGACACCAGACTCAAATCTTAACAAATTAATAGACCATGCAAACATCTTTGGGTGAGTGGTATAAACAAAGATGTATGACACTGCTTCGCTATGGTGGGTTACAGAGTGCTGCATTTACATCCAAAAATATCAAAGCTTCACAATGACGATTATTTGAAGAAACATATTGTTGCTACACTACCTAACCAATATACATTCAATTGTCAACATTAAACCATATATAATGAGAAGAGAAATCGAATTGTGACATATCTGAAACATTGAAGCCATTGTTGTGAGTGAATAGGCTAAACAATCATGGTAATATAAATAAAAACAATATATTTGTAATATCCCAATGAGTAGAAAAATTAAATTTCCCGACGTGTCGTTACTCAGTAAATCCACTTCTTGTGGCAATATATTTTACCACTAAATAAATTTCAATTTCTTTGTAACATATGTATGAAGCTACCCTAAATGATCCAGCATCTAAAAGATTTCTAAGTAACATATCGTAATTATTTCGTTTCTCCCCTAATCGTATGGTACGTAATAGTGTATAACTTATAAATGGAACATCTGAAGTGTCAAATGATCTGTTTCATTTACAAATATTATAAATTAATCATTTAAAAGGAATCAAACTATAAAACGTTTATGAGAGAATTTTAATTCACTTACTTTATAATCCACAAAGGGATTCTAAATTATATGTAAACATAAAGCATATTATTTATCGAATTCTGAAGTACAGAAATGAGTATTTATGTACCAGAATAGGGATTTGTGGAAGTTGTAATATTTTCAGTAGTTGAATTCATGGGTCGATCTAAGATAGACTACCATTAAAAATCTGGAAGCGCTGGATGTTCGTCTCGTCCTAGTATGGGACTATTCAGTAGTGCACATCCACGAAAAACCGTGAAAGTGCAATCCGATTCGTGTCGAACGGAGACAGTTATGCATTTCAGACAATGGATGAACAGTTGCGCAAGATCATGGATAAACTGAAGTTAGACATTAATAACGTTAAATGCCAAATCAGCCGTCTGGATGTCAAGCAATGACGACGATAAAAATCAGTTCTATGAGAGTCTGAAATCAATCATAGCGAAGTGCTTAGAAACGAACTGACTATCCTGATGGGAGATATAGACTACAAAGTCGGGAGGGACAACACCGGATATGAAGATATCATGAGAAAACATGGAATAACCCGGAGAAGAGAATGAGAATGGCGAGAGATTTGAAAATCTAAGTGCATTCAACTAATTGGTTATAGGTGGCACAATATTCGCACACAAACGCATATACAAAGCCACATGGGTCTCACCGGACAACACTACACAGAACCAGGTCCATCATGTTGGCATCAATAAAAAATTAGCAAAGTCAACGGAAGACGTGAGAACCAGTAGAAGAGTTGGCATAGCCTCCAATCACCACTAGCTGGTGGTTGCCAAGATGAAACTAAAGATAAAGAAGCAATGGACAACTGGAGAAACAGCATTACAAAGGTTCAATACAACTTTATTTCGAGATACTAACAAACCCACCCAATTCAAGATAACTCACAACAAGAGAGGTTCCAAGCCTTGCAAGATCTACTGAAAGAAGAAGAAACTAATATGGAGGACAATTAGAAAGGGATGAAAGAAGCACAAACTTCAACGTGTCAGGAGGTCCTGAATCTCAACAAGCATCATCATAAGGGATGGATCTCTATGGAAAGCGTGGACAAGATTCAAGAAAGGAAGAACAGAAGATAACAATTAACAACAGAAGAGAACGGGTAAAGTGAAGGCACAAGATGAATACACTAAAGCATACAGGCAAGTGAAGAAAAGCATTCGAGATGACAAGAAGCAACACTTAAAAGACGTGACAATTACAGGGGAAGAGCTGCAAGAGAAGGAAATATGAAACAACTTTATGATTCAACGAAGAAACTAGCAGGGAGATATAGTAAGTGAGAGAGACCGGTCAAGGACAAAGAAGGCAAGTCAATCACTGTGACTCAAGAACAGCGGAACAGGTGGGTAGAGTACTTCAAGCAACTGTTGAATAGACTAGCTCCATTGAATCCACTGGATATCGAAGCAGCACACACAGACCTTCCCATAGATGTCACTCAACCAACAATTGAAGACATCAGGATGGTGATCAGACGAGTGAAGAGTGGGAAAGCAGCAACATCTGACATTACAGCAGCCGAAACACTGATGCGAGACATAGAAGTAACTGCAGATATGCTCCACGTTGTATTCAAAAAGAATTGGGATGAAGAACAAGTATCGACAAACTGGCGTTTTGTGACTTAGTGTAAGCCACTTCTTCAGAGAATAAATAACCGAATTAAAATTAATCCAAGTTCATATAGTACCTGCTTTTTGATTGATCACATAATATTCTTGTTGTTCCGTTGTATTATTTAAACTTGGATTAATTTTAATTCGGTTATTTATTGTCTGAAGAATTGGCTTACTTTGAGTCACAAAACGTCAGAAAATTTAATATTTCTACTCATTGGGATATTACAGATATATTAGTTTATTTATAACAATCTACCCAATGCTCAATTTATTCGAATTTATGAAATCAAACCTTGGTAATGATATCTGTAAATATTGAAGTTTATACGAGGTCAAAAGTATCGAAATTCTGCTGTGTAACATGAGTCTCTAAAACTAGTTCGGAACATAGAACATTTAGACTAAGACAGTTGTTTGTAATATGAAAAATGTTGACCTATTTAATTAAAAAGTTTTTAGTAACAAATAAGATAAAAATCAAGGATAAACAATAGACGATTTACTCACATGGGTTCATCATGCTTCTGAGTATAACTAGATAAGGTCGGCAAGAAAGTTAATAAATAAGAGGGGACAACATAAAAATGAAAGAAAGGTACACACGAATACATGACGCATAAATTAAATGATTCTATAATCCCTGGAACTACGTAATTTGTTGAGGCTAATGTCCTCTATATCTGACTCCAATAAATAATATCCCGTTAACTGAGTATTTAATGTAGGCTAAATCTCCTGGTAGAATTATGGATTTTACGCGAGATTATTCAAAAGCCTTAACACCAGTTGTAGAGATAATTTATGGTTAATGATTAATAAAAATCCGCAAGCGTACAGCGAGCAAGCACACGATGAAACAAAGTGAGTGTGTGTGTGTAAGTGTCTGTGTGTTAAAAATCCATATATATTTCTGAGAGTTAATCGGGTGTCGATAAATTATCGATTATCAGTACATTGCAACCAATAGGAGGATAGCTTAAGGGGTTAATGTACAGGCATGCATTCGATCATACACACCGAAATTAACATAGTGAATTAAGAGTCTGAAATGCACACAAAAATTAACATGATGAATTAAGTGTCTGAGTTACAATGAGTAGACAAATGATACAGTGGTCAAATGGGCTTGCCACAAATTATACACAGTAGACGAGCCACTCACGTTTCAATAGGATGTGTATTGTCTATTCTGTATAAATAATATGAAGAAATTTATTTAAACCATCTGAAGGATCTGTACAGGAACACTATTAGTTGAATGAAAGCACATAGTAAATTGTAGTCCAAACTGATAAAATCGAACAGTGTTCGTCAAGGCTCTCCGCTTCACCCAATCCTATTCGAATTTGTCATGGACATTCATTCAAAGACAGCACTGTCTTGGTCTCAGCATTCAAGGATCGCTCTCTTTCTACGAAACTCATTTATTAGCTCTGAATATACATATGACATAGATTTAGTAATATTTACAACAGTTTAAGAACAGACAATAAATGATTCACTCACTTCTTCACAAGGTGCTTATCAATCTCGCTGTATAAGGAAATAATTAGATTAAATCATTGCAGACAAGCAAACCTCACGAATTGTTTGTGCCACTTTCTGTCGAAGATAGTTTTTTTTAAATTTTTTTTGGGGGGGAAAGCTTTTACTGCCTATATATACCTTTAAACTCTAGGTATAAAATATAGTTTACTTTTGAATTCATTTGGTGTTGTATGTTTGAATCTTCCCATTCATGTTTAAGACCGATCAATTAATCAGCAACAAGTACATAAATGAATTAAAACTTCACCACATCGTACAAGCTAGTGGCTATCAGGACTGAGTAGCTAAATGTGTAATGTGATGGTGTTTGAAGCGAACGGTACTGGATTCGAGTCCCTGAGTGAACGTCAAATCTGGAATGCAGATACATCTAGTTGACGATTCCCAAATAGTATGAGACGCCCGTCATGTATCCCACTAATAGGCACCATCTATGTTTGCCTCAATACTAATGTTTTTTTAAACGTTGCTATCTCTTTTAATCAGATTTTATGATTTCCGCTATTATGCAGTAAATTTCTTTTTATGGTTTTAACTATTACTATATATCTCTACGATAAAATAAATAAATAGAGTTCATGAGCCTTCTTGACACCTATATACCACCATCAATTCATTGTATTTATTGAGTACGTACATCAGTTCGAGTTGCCACACCATATTAGCTCAGAAATGCAATTGTCGATTCAAGTCACATAGTGGTAGAGGTAGTAAAAGTATAAGCAGTAATCGGAAAGATTAGGGTTTGAAGATGCTATTCAAGGAGCGTAATCCAGTGAAATAAATTTGGAAAGAGAAAAAAAGGAGACGAAGAATTCTGAAAATTGGAATTTGGTAGAACGCAAAGAGTGTATGCATCTGCGCCATTGCGAACGATTTTGAGCCATGTCATTTATGGTCTCTAACCATCGGTTGCTATTATCTCTCTGATCCCAACCAGTCCACTTGTCAGTGACTTCATGGATTTGTGCCATGTTTTGGTCTGGTCGCCCATACCTTTCCTCCAACTTACTCTTACACCATAAAACATCGCACGTTGGGGTATTCGGTGGTTGGGCATACGTAACACATGTCCCAGCCATCTCAACTGATGACGTTTCACTACTTCATCAATTGACTTGCCATCCCTTCCTAGTACCCGTTTCCTAACAACTACATTACTTACTCGGTGGCTCCAGGGTATATGAGTAATGCTTCGAAGATATCTATGATCAAATACTAGTAACCTACGAATATCCTCTACTCTTACCGGCCATGTTTCACTACCATAAAGTAGTACGGAACATTGATATGTTGATTTCTCACTTGTTATTCAGCAATTCCTGGAGACTGTTTAAATTAGGGAAATAAAATAAATTAAATAGTATAGCATATTGTATAAAAAGTTTCTTGATTTAAATTTAAACGAATGGTTACATTATTACTGCACTATCGAATTATTACTGACACTCAAATATAAGCCGGCCCAGTGGTCTAGTGGTTAAGTGCTCGCGTGCGAGATCAGTAGGTCCCGGGTTCGAGTTCTGCGAGGCGGAGTCGTAGCTGCGCACTGTTGAGGAGTCCAACAGTAGGACAAAACGGCCGTCCAGTGCTTCCAGGTTTCCCATGGTGGCTCATGATCTCAACTATTGAAACTATATTTGTTGAACTATTAATGGATAACATGAAAAATAACTTGGATGTTTCATCACTTAGTATTTTATTTCGAGCTTATTCAAGAAAACGAATAAAGTTACAATTTATTGATTATTATTAGGGTTCAAAGAACATGGTATACCAAATGATTGTCTATTCATTATGAAATATTGAATTATGAATTTGTTATAATACTTTTATCCTTAGACGTTGAAAAGAACTTGAATTCACATTGATGATAGTACCATTTTCAGTAGAATATTGATATGGTTGTTTTCAATCGAATAAAAATCCTTCCAAATACTTTTGGTTCTTACAAATAAAAATTGACACTTAAAACTTTACACATATAAGCAAATGTAAACAATTAACTAAACGAGATAGAGTATAGTTAGTTGTATTTTTCTAATTAGTTATTGTATCTGGATGTGCCATAAACAACTAGACTGTTTTAAATAATCAGTACAAATATGTATTGGTCTATTTCTTCTAATTTTCGGCTTTCTATGATAAAGTTACTTTGTGATTATCTATCAGATTGACTAATTTCATTTATGACTATATCCTACGGTTAAATATATAGTCAGTGGGTCTTTTCACATCTGATTTCCATATACATAAACAAACTTAATCTTCTAATATTTTCACGACATTTTATAATAAAGACTTATATTCATATCTACATTATAAGAGATTTCGAATTTAACATTTTGGCATGATTAACCAGCTGTCTAGTGCATAGCTGTTTTCTGAACCCTATTTATATTCGATGAATCTCAACTTTGATTATTTTTTCGAAGAATCTCGGACTAGACTGCCAATGGAAACATTTAAGTTATTTTTGATTTTAACCACAGAGATTTTAACAAATATGGGTCACTTATATTGCAAGATACTGTTACGTATTGTCATATATTTCATTGTTCGTTTGCTTAAAAATACCCCGAGTGACACAAGTAGCTTCTATGCGTTGCATCCCTTGTTGCATAATCTGTGTTCATATCATCGTTTCATATTATATCATGTGTTTCTGATTTGTAGTATGATTTGTATGGTGATTATTCTGTTATTTACATTGTGATGAATACTATTAAGTTATTATGACTAACATTCAAACTAAATCGACGGATGAAAGTGTCGTTTTACTAGTCATTTTGTTAACTATACGTTTTCATCCTAGACAAACTGTTTATAGTTACACTATCTTTTTAATAAAATCGATGACTGAAGGTTTTGATCACTAAAGAAATGCATCAAATTATTTGATTAGTGATTCTAGTGTTGCAATATATTTTGTTGGGATTGTATTATCAATTCCATGAGAACATTATCGATACGACTACTACTGTCATTCTAGTATCTTTTTTGAAATTTACTATTCTATTCCATTTCATTTTCTGCTTCGATGCTACTTGTCGTTCTATCTTCTCTTCATGAATTTATAATTTGATCACTATTTATTAGATTGTTGTTCATCTTTATTGAAAATATCACAAAGTTTAGTTTCGTTAGTTACCAAAACAAACAACTGCATCAGATATAAATCGTCAGTCTGCTTAAATTACTTCAGCATCATTTGTAGACTGAATCCAATTTCTATGTGATTGTTCTACTGAAATCGTAGTAAACACCAGAATACCTGGCGATTCGTGATTCCTAGACTAACTGATACTCACTACTATTACTGAAATAATATGTCAATATTTCAGTTACTATTTCACATATGGTTATCTCCATTGATTAAATTTATGGACAGTTAATAATATTAAGGTCAATGTTATTGGTAATAATAACTGAACGATCTCACTCGGAGTATTTTCAATGTCACCAGTTTTGGACACTGTATTTACGGTATTGACAAATGGAAACACTACTGAATTAATCCCCAGAAATTCCAACACTTATCTTTTAGTTTGAATAGTTATGTTGTGGATGCGGAGGGGGGGGGAGGATGAACCCAGAAAATTTCAAAATCCGGATATCAACTCCGGATCTTCAAAAAAAGGGGAGGTGTTGTGGATGCGGAGGAATAGACCAATAATTATCATGTTAAGTCCAATGGTGTCCTTGGACTTTAAATGGATATTTCCTATTGGTCGATATCTGTTCACTTGTTGAATATTGTACAAAATGTTGTTTTCTATTCTATGGTACGATGTGGTATGCTTGGTTAGTATATAAATAGAGTATGTTTGAAATATGATGATTCATATCTCAGAGGCTGTGGCTTGTGTTCTGGACTCAACTGGCTGGGCTGGAGAGGGAAGCAGAACCAATCAGAACTGTAGGCCGTTCGTTCGTGTTTACGTGTCACTGTAGTCGATCGATAAGTACGCTGCTCTCTAATTTTCCAGTCAAGGACACAACAATTAGCACAGGGTAAAAATCGACCGCAACATAAAGCCATAACAAGTTATCTGAGTAAACTCACTCGTCTTCAGTGAATTGTTTGTTACTAAATGTATTAGTATGTTAAGAAACAAAAGAGTGAAATAGACTCTTACTTTCAATAAATCAGATAGCTTGAGAAATATGATCCATACTTAATGGATACTACTTGAAATTTTATGTATTGTGAAAGGGATAGAAATTTAGAAGTTATCTTAGTAAAAACTGGGTTTTTTTTATCAAAGTGTGATTGATAAGCGAACTAAATTTACTTGATGTTTTATTGCTTAGATTTATTGTCATTTACGAAATTGTTAATGTTGTGTTAGAAGTTTCAAAGCAATATCAGTCCTTGAGCCATTACTAAAAGAGTCATTGACCTTAAAACGTTCTGTTTCCAATATTCTATTTGAAAAGAAAAAAAAGCATTAAAGTTGTCGAAACCTGACCAACCACTAGCGTAAATGAATACCCTGAAATTGGTAGAATCCCGTTCTCCATCATCTTTCTAGAAACTTCTTTTGCAGTAAATTGCCAATTTTATTGTTTAGCTGGAAACAGAACAATGGAATATATGGTCCTCTGGATGAATCAGGCATAGGCCAAATAATAAATAAGAGATGCTGACAGGAACACTGCATAGGCGGAGATTTCTCGAGAAATAAGAATAAGCTATATGTTGAAAATGTGGCTTGATTTTCAGAAAGACGTTTTTTACTATTGGTGAATGAGTAGTACATATATTTTTGATTTGCTTAGCCAATAAAAGTTTCCAAATCTCTCTTGGTTTTCTGTGTTAATTAGTTGATATGTACACACTTATAGTAAGCGTATATATCAGTATAAGAATTAGACGACCTCGGATCATTACAATGTGACCTCAGACAATCTAGTATCGGATGAAAATAACAGTACATAAAGCAGAAAACTATGTATAGAATATTTCATAAAGTGATTATTTGTATGAATTATAGTTTGGAGTCGTAAATGAACGAAACATAATTGTTTTTTATACACAGCTTGTTGACTTGAAAATCCATGGTATCCTGAGTTATTAACGAATTCGAAGAAAAGTGAGAACAATTTTTTTCAAAAGATGGTTGCATACATACACTTTTACCAGAACAAAAGAACATGGAAATATTACATTTGTTAACAACATTTTGTTTAAGACAAATCGTACAACTTCTAAGCTGTTTATTGTAAGGTATTTATGATCATTGACATCGTAGCTAAGTAACTAGGTGGCCTGCTTGAATATCTGGGCTACCTGTTCTTGCCATTTACATATTTCAACAAGTTATCTCTCTTTTGTTTATTTCAACAAATCATTATGTCAATTAATTACATAACCTATTCAGGTGTGTTTGCGATAAGTTCACAACTTTTCTCTGTACAAGTTAGGAAAGAGCATAGTCAGAGACATTGTGGTTACTGGCAACATACATTGAAAAGAATGTACATTATTCAAATGTCAATTCCTGAACTAGTAACATCTAATTGGCAATCATTCAATATTTATCGTCAGGATCGATTAAGAAATAAGAAATGGAAACTTGTTGAAATACATTATGTTAAGATATCAATACTGTACCAAAAATATAATACTGAATATAGTGAATAATAATAAAACTGAACAAATTACAAACTAATTATTTATATGATAACATTCAACTTTCATTTAAAACAATGTAATATTTAATTTAAATGATTTAAGAAAATCATTGTATTTTGCAAAACTATTTGTTTGAATGGAATTGTCCAAGAAAATATACAAATTTCAAAACTAACTTACATTCCCTTTAATTTTAAATATTTACTAAATAGTTAAAGTAGAATTTAAACAAAACATTAAAGATTCTTTGAATTTCAATGAAGTATTTTTCTTCTTTAAGTGAATTAAATTGTTCAAACAGATCAAAAATACTTTGAATATAATGAACATCATATATATTTTCAATTAATTAAGTTTTATACTTGATAATATTGTGATGTGGGTTACTTATATCCACAGAAGTAGTATGTAACGGTGGACAGGTATATAAGTGTATTTCAGTAGAAGATCGAAAAGGTAAGAACAGGAACGAAGAGCGATTGGTATGAAAATGCATGATTAATGAAACCTAAGACAATGGACTGATATTTGCAAAAGGAACAGTGAAGTTTGAGACAATGGATTGATGTTTTGTAAATTAACTATTTACTATATGGTTCTCAGATTTTATTGAGACGCTTTGTAATTTCGTGTCAAATGCATTTTATTGTCTCCACTGGTGTTCCGTTCACTACAACATGACAACAAATTGGACTATTGGACAAGAAAGTTTCATGTTTTTATTGGTGATATAATCAAATATGATAGTTAAATATTAAGGAATTTACAATCAATGAAAAGTACATTTATACTATAACTACTTAATTGATGAGTTTATAAATAACAATATTAACTGTTCAAAATAAACTTAGTCTATTTTAACTTATTTTTGTATTGGTTACGTAGATCTACCGGTTGATGTTTAGGACTTCAATTGATCAGTTTCTTATTAGTATATGTGCATTCTGTAAGGATCGTCTCGATATTTCTTTCATTCACAAGCATTATAAGCTGAGATGATGGTGGCTAGCAGCGACATTCAGAATGCACGTTACGTTCTATTTGGGACTCGTCAGTTGGATGTACCTGTATCCTAAAGTTTTTGATTCCGGATTCAACTATTAGTCACGATCATCTCAGATTATAATGCGTTTGACTGAAGGCAATATTGAGGCAATCCTCATAAGATACACATATACCAATAAGAGACTGATCAATTGCAGTCCTAGACATCAATCGGAAGATTCAAATAAACAGTACCAAGTGAATTTAAACTTCAATCTATTGCACAATCTGGATCCTGTAGCTAAGTGTATAACATCATGGCGTTTGAAGCGAACGGTACTGGATTCAAGTCCCTGAGTGAACATCAACTCTGAGGTACAGGTACATTCAATTTACGAGTCCCAAATAAGATGAAACGTGTGTTGTGCATCCCACTGCTAACCACTATCCATCTTTGCTTATTTTAGATTCTGTTTTGAAAATCATAATATTTATCGATATTTGATATACACTTACCTCAAATGCATCCACTTACTTTATAATATTAAGTTCACTATGTAAATCAATTTTGATAAGAATTAACAAAATTATTCAATAAAATAATAATGTATTTTGTAAAAATCATTTTCACTAAGAAATCATATTAACCTTAGTGAGGAAAATATTCAATAGCCAACTTGTTTAAATAGTAAATGTTATAAACTGAAACCATTTTGATAAATATTCCTAAAGAATAAAAATTAGTAGGGGTTTTGTAGAGATTTTAGAAGTTTCACTGGAGAGTCCCATAGCAGGACGAAACGGCCGTCCAGTGCTTCCAGGTTTTCCATGGTTGTCTAGCTTCAATTGATTCATGATTTCAATCAGTGGAATAAAAATCATTTAGAAGTTGAACCGAAATAATCGTCTATCACTAGCTTGAAACCTTCCATGATAAATTTATAAAAAATTAAAACCAAAAAAACCTGAATGTTTGTACTTTTGTTTCGAATTAACTAAAATTTATTGATTATTTTGACTTGATGTGTTATCATGAACTTTGTGTTTTAATATTTAGAGTAAGTCAAGCGTCACAAGGCAAGTCCTCACTTAGAACTCTCAAGGCCAAAGGAGAAGAGGAAGATCAAAGAACACATTTAGCCAAGAAATGGAGATAGATATGGGAAAAAATGAACATTTGGATAGAACTAGAAAGGAAGACCAAGGATAGAGTGGTTGGAAAATGCTGGTCAGCGGCCTATGCTCTATTGGGAGTAACAGGTGTAAGTAAGTAAGTAAGTAAGTAAGTACGTAAATCAAGCAAGGAATGAACAAACAAATATGTTCCATAACAATGATTACTGATCATTCTATTGTAATGTAAGTCAGACAGATACACAATCGAAAAATCTCAAAATTAAATGGAAAAACTATTCGGTGCTTCAATCATTCTAATAGTCAGTCAAATAATTCTATTACAGATATATTGTTACCGTCCTGTTTATCGGATTTTTAACCTTAATAATTTATACAGCTTTTATTTCTAACGGAATCCCTGTATACATGGAGAGGAGTAAATTGATTAAATAAGTTGAATGCACAGGTAATACAATCTACACCTAATGTTCGTAAAAATTAAAATTAATCTTAATTGGATCTGACGTTTACTCAACAAATAGGATCCAATTCGGATAGTCATTACTATTAGTGAGATTTTAACCTTCAATAGTGCTAAAGCAATTACTTGTAAAATTCACAGAATAACATGATACTGACACATTTCAGTGAAACTTAATTAAAAAATCCAACCATGGTTTTGACTGGAAACCAATATGTTCAGGCACTAACATTTAATCTCACTGACATTAATATGAAAACTTAACAGTACATACTACTCAATCAATTTTGTTACCAAACATCACACACATTAACCAATTGTACTGGTTATTCACAAAATATTTGAATTTGTTGTAAATACTACCAATTCATTTAGGCGTAGCTAACCAACCATTTCAACAATTAGGCATTCTGTACTATTAATCATACTTTTGATTATGTAATTTCCAAACAATAACTAATCTTAACGTTTTTGGTTGTTCACAGTATGATTAATCAACACTATTTAATCATCATAGATGATTTTACTTCATTATACTACAGATTTCACTTTGAACTCAGAATCAAATGAAAATTTGTTTTCAATATGAGATTGGATTTACATAGGGCCTAATAGCAATGATGAAAATGACAGAGGATATTAATAAATGAAAATAACTTAGAATTAATTTTGACTGTAGAAAGTTGAGAAATTATATTATTTAAAACGATTTTTTCAATAAAATGTCCAACACATAAGAATATTCACTCTAATTGATCTTCAGGTCTAGAACAAAACAAAACAAAACAAAAAGTGTTAATTAATAGTTTAACGATGAGATAAAAATTATTGATTGTTTATAGGCGAAATAATGAAATCTTTTGACATTTGTAAACAAACAGAAATTGTCGAATTCATGAGTCGATTAAAGCTAGACCAACATGGAAAATATGGAATCACCCTAGTGTAATTCTCTTCAGCAGTGCGCATCTACGATCCCACATGTGGGGCTCGAACCCAGGACCTTCAGTTCCGCGCGCGAACGCCCAACATCCGGACCAATGAGACGGCACCCAACGGTGTTAATGTCTAACCTCAACCAATCTACGACATTGAGCCGTTCAGTGCTTCCAAGATTTCCATAATGGTCTGGCTTTAGTCGACTCACGAAGTCAGCTATTAAATTACTACAATCTCCACAAAACCCCCTTTCTGAAAATAGAAACCTTTTTTAATATTTAAGTATATTAAAAATTAGTCAATTACATGAACTAAATAAATTACCTTAAAGTTTAGATAAACAGTTTAAAATAAATGAATCCTGAATAACAATATGAATCTTTATATTCATGATGGATTCAATGGTAGTTTAGTTCAGCGTATCATTGTTATATTTCAGAACTATTATTAAAATAGAACTAAACATTCTTATGGTAATTGAACAAACATTTTTCACTTGACTTTATAATAAACAACAGGCATCATTGATTTAATTAAAATGTACAAAATCTACCTACAATTGAACGATAATTTGATAGTGATCAAATTATGTTTGTTTAGTTCTTTTTAGTACTGATCAAATTTGATAAACTATGATTGATTACATTGTTGATAGTCTTAAGAACATCTTGTTAGTATATGCTTATGTTATTTTCTTACAATTAAGAAGTAGAAAGATTGAAAAATTAACAATCAGAAACACTTGGTGAAGTTTTTAATCACCTGTTTTTAGTCACTTATCTGACAATAAAGACACAAACATATTACTGTAAAAGCCTGCTTTGTATGAACCGAAGTGGAGATATTCTGCGTCTTGATATTTACAAATAAAGTTGAATAGAGAAGATTACTTTGTTGTTTATTTATGGCTGATGTATAAGAGATGAGCGCATCTTATTTTGCAGTTATTTAGTCTAAACAGTTGCCGAAAAATAAGTGGTTGATGGTCACAAATCGTTCAAGAGATTACGAATGGTGTTATAGTCAGGCTATAAAATGTCTCTGAACACAATTATCTTGGACAAAGTACCAGCCCATGAATCACTTAGCTACATAATATATCTTTCATGCCTCTTCCTATTGGTTACACTAATTCAGCATAAGCATAACACCAACCAGTGTTGACTAAATAACGATAAACAAGTTGATATCACTGTAGCATAAGTATAGGAAAAATAATAATAGTAATACGTCTGTAGCAATATAATCTGCTTGAGGCCTATATATCGTACATTGGTTTCGATAGGTATAGAACACTAGTAGATTTCTTGTAGCTTTCTAGACCTGTGTAAACTATATGAGAACTTTGTATGAATTATGCACATTCTTAGAAACTGTTAACCTGGATATTTGCAAAGATTGAAATCTCTGAAAGATTAAGTGGCGACACGCAAGATAATTCATGTTCTACAGAGAAGTCAATTTAAATGGCACACATGAAAAAGGTAGGCTTCAAATAATAACTACCTTTGAGCACTTTCAATATTTTCAGTGTTAATATCTCAGTGAATGATTGAAAACTGGTAGTTTCATGGATTCTGTTCAGAAAATTGTTGTATCTACTTCATATATTCATGGTCAGCGTACAATCATCAACCGATTTCAGGTTGTGTTTAACACGAAAACATAAATCTTGAATTCAAGTAAAATATTTTCCAGGCTTAGGAAACTTGATAATCATAAATCAAAGTGAAATACTAAACTGTTAAGATTCAACGTCAATATGTCATTTTGAGTACCAGGATACAGTTAACCATAAATTTCTGCTAGTTACTTACATTAAACACAAAAAAGATTTCGTTTTACACAAAAAACCCATTCTGAGTAAAACAAAAATCTTAATCGAAACTATAGAATTAGAATCAATAATGATTGGTGATCGAATGGTGAAAAACTTACAAATTTGTAGTAGCAGTAAACCCTAAGTTAAATCAAAACATAATAATGTTATCGTGAAGAAAATGTGTGGAAATGTCATTCAAATATATAGACAGTGAAATTACATTCACAGATTATTCTATGAGCTTCTTTTAATAAATCCTCGAAAATACCACATATATTAGTAATTTAATAGTTGAATTCATGAGTCGATTAAAGCTAGACCACCATGGAAAGCCTGGAAACATTGGAAGATCGTTCCTTCATAGTATGGGACTTCTGTAATTATTGATTGTATCAGCTTCTTCAAACCTTTGAAACATTTATATATTACAGCTTTGTTTTAATTAAACCATCATAAATGTTCAGCGTTTGTTATCTTTTAGAAAAAGCATACATTCTAAAGCAATGATAAATATTTAAAAAATCTTAAATAGAATCACTATAACTGTTGACATATTTCCTCCTTGTCTATTCTTTAATGAAACAAGAGGTAATTAAATGTAAACCAGTATAATATTAGCATCTTCTTAATGATTAATCTCATTTATTCATCAAAAGAATCGTAAATTGATCAGGTAAAGTTGTTCAGTTTAGGTCTTTCATGAAAATTCTGAATTTCATTTAAGAAGGAATTATCAGTGTATGCTACTCATCATACGATTAACAGCAATGACTAGAAATTCTGAGATTTAACCTGTTTTTAGTTGTTGTTTTTGTTGTTTAAATACTATTCGATCATTGATTATCTACGGGATGGGGTCGCTAACCCCATGCCCGACCATCCTCCTTTATCCGAGCTTGGGACCGGCAGTAGCCTTCGGAGGGACTATTCTAGTTAATATATTCTAATTAAAGTCTACAAATGACTATTAATCACCAGTTCGAAAAATCATTAATATCTACTTTTTAAATCTATATTTTCCAGTATAAATCATTCAGCTTAGTTACTTACCTTGTGAAATGATCAAGCCTATAGTACATAATATACCAGTAACGTAAATATTCATGTTGTTGAATTTTAACTTTCGATTTGAGTAATAAGTAATTCAAGAAATAAATAACTTTCATATGATTTTTAGAAATGATTGTTTACACTGAATAACATTAAGTGTATTGTTCTCTTTTGTTTTTTTTTCTAATCAAATATATGCTATAAACATATGTAACTGTAATATGATTACTAATAGTATTGAAACCAAATGAAAAGAAAAGTAGTATTACTATGAATATTGACAAAAGTTACAAGTTTACATTAATGAGTGAGAAAAGAAAAGTATTACATAAACAAAAGGAATAAGATAAACAAAACATAACACAAAAAACATAAACGTTTAGAAATAAGATGAGAAAATTATAAAAATGGTAATTGATAAATAATTTAAATAATTCTGTTCACACTCTAACTAAGTCCAATGGTTAAGTGCTCGCGCGCGAAACCAGTAGGTCCTGGGTTCGAATCTTGCAGGGGGCGAGGTCGTGGATGCGCACTGCTGAGGAGTCCCACAATAGGACGAAACGGCCGTCCAGTGCTTCCAGGTTTTCCATGGTGGTCTAGCTTCAACTGACTCATAATCTTAACCATTGGAAATACTTTTAATTTGATTACAAAATCGATAGAAACAGATTAGAAGTACTTTTTATGAATTAAGTTAGGTAAGTAGAGTAACTAAGCTGGGTGATTTATACTGGAAAATATAGATTTAAAAAGTAGATATTAATGATTTTTCAAACTGGTGATTAATAGTCATATGTGAATTTTAATTAGAATATTGTATGTGTGTTGTATCTTGGTAAACTTTTTTCGATGTTAGTATAGTATTTAAACAACAAAAACAACAACTAAAAACAGGTTAAATCTCAGAATTTCTAGTCATTGCTGTTAATCGTATAATGAGTAGCATACACTGATAAGTCCTTCTTAAATGAAATTCAGAATTTTCATGAAAGACCTAAACTGAACAACTCTACCTGATCAATTTACGATTCTTTTGATGAATAAATGAGATTCAGATTCAGATTTGTGTAGTAAGGACAGAAGGCCTACGGCCTATGTTATTCCTTTTCTAGTATGCTTCTGTGAGTGTCCAGTCTTCTCTTGAAAGAGTCAATTGAAGGTGCGGACACCACTGCTTCAGGCAGCAGGTTCCAAGTATTGATGACTCGGTGTGAAAGCCTGTATGCCACGGGTATTTTGCTCGTTCTTGGCTTTTCTACTCGCCTGCTATGTCCTCTGAGGTGTCCCGATCTAGTGGGAAGAAAGAGAGAGAATAAGTTAGGTCCGAAATCATTTCTCAGTATTCTGTACATCAATATTAGATCTCCCCTTAGTCTGCGATAGGACAGAGTAAAGAGGTTCAGTTTTTCAAGCCGCTCTTTATATGATAAACCCCGGAGTTCCGGAATTGCACGCGTAGCTGCCCTCTGTACCTTTTCTAGTATGTCTGAGTCACCTTTTAAACAGGGGCTTGCAGCCTGAACACAGTTCTCTAACTTAGTTCTCACTAAGGATGTGTATAATGTGGTGAACATGGTAGTATCAAGCTTAGTGAATGTCCTTTTTAAAGCCCAGAGGGTTCGAAACCCCTTAACTGCGACCTCCCGGCAATGGGCCGTCGTCTTAAGATCATTGATCACTGTCACCCCTAGGTCCTTATGAGACCGGACTACGGGTAATGACACATCCCCTATGTTGTACGTATTAACCTTTGAATCCCCCAAGTGCATGTAGACACACTTTTCTGAGTTGATAGGCATTAGCCACTCTTTAGACCAGTTTATCATATTATTTAAGTCCGCCTGAAGAGTAAATGCGTCTTTGTCTCCAGTTATTACTCGCCAAATTTTTACATCGTCAGCGTATAATAACATTGGAGACTGTACTATACTTGTAAGATCATTAACGTACATTATAAAAAGTAAAGGACCTAAGACGGAACCTTGGGGTACTCCACTAAGTACTGGTCTCCAGATGGAGCACTTGGAATTTATTCTTACTTTTTGCCTACGACCTACTAGGAAATCCTTAATCCATTTTAAAAGAGGTCCGGCAATACCAAGGTTTGCCAACTTCAATAGCAGTCTATTAGTTGGCACCTTGTCAAAAGCCTTACTGAAGTCTATGTAGACAACATCCACTGAGTTTCCGTTGTCTAGCGCATTAATCCAGAGCTCCCTAGCTATAAGGAGGTTCGTTGTACAGGATAGACCCTTTCTAAAACCATGTTGTGCCATGTTCAGCAAGTTATTGGTTTCCATAAATGCTGTTATGGTCCGTTTGATTATTCTTTCCAGTATTTTAATTACAACACTGGTGAGGCTTACGGGTCTGTAATTTGATGGAACTTGTCGTAGACCTGTTTTATGTATGGGAGTGACGATTGCGTCCTTCCAGTTCATAGGTAACACACCTTGGTCAAGTGACATTTTGAATATCACAGTCAGTGGGGCTGCGATATATTGGGCAATATGTCTCAAGATTTTAGGGTGTAGTTCATCTGGTCCTGTTGACTTCTCCATGTTTAGGGTGCTAAGAGCCTTAAGCACATCGTTTTGGTCGAAGTCCACGGTGAGCAGCTGGTTTGTTGACTCTGTAATTGGGTCCGGTTCTTTCTCTAGAGAAGGTTCCTGAGTGAAAACTGCCCCAAAGTAGTCAGCCATAACCTCAGCTTTTTCCTGGTCTTTCCCTATCATTTCAGATTCACTTCCTACTTTAATTAGGTTGGGAATCTAATGATGAATCCTTGTTCTGTAGTTTATGTACGAGAATATCCTCTTGGGCTGCTTGAGTGCAGATTCTGCCAGCTGCATTTCATATTTTCTTTGCGCTTCCCAAATTTTAGTTATACACTCGTTTCTTATCGATCTGTAGCGTTCCATCGTACCTGCTGTGCCAAGGCGGATGGCAACATCCCAGCATTTCTTCTTTTGTCTTAGTAAGCGTCGAATATCCCGCCCTATCCAGGGATGTCCGTGCTTCTTTTTCTTTGGGACAGTCCAGAGTATGTATGGTTGAGTTACCCGATTGTATAACTGCCTGAATAGAGTCCATGCCTCTTGTACTGATGCCTTTGAGTCAATTTCCCAGTTCTCAGCCGATGCTGCGGAGTTAATTGCCTGCATATCTGCCTTCCATATGTTAGGACGGGCCGGCGCAATTGTTTGACAAGCAATCTCAGCCATGAATTTGAATAAAATGACTGCATGGTCACTTCTCCCAAGTGGTGGGAGAAAAGCCGTTTGACCAACGTCATCACCGTGTGTGAAGACTAAATCTAAAAGAGAAGAGTTTCTTAAGTCGTATCTTGTGGGATCTCTAATGTGTTGGAATAATGCTAGTCCAATCGAGGTTTCTAACTGTTTGGAGTCGAACGACGATATGGATGACCCTACTTCTAAGTTAACCCAGTTTATATATGGTGCATTAAAGTCGCCTACTACAAGGCTTTTACCATTGTTACACCAGGACTTAAGTTTACTAAGGAGAAAATCATCTGCTACACATTCTGGACTGCGATAAACTACAACTACTTCAAAATCTTGTATGTGTGTTGTATCTTGGTAAACTTTTTTCGATGTTCGTATAGTATTTAAACAACAAAAACAACAACTAAAAACAGGTTGAATCTCAGAATTTCTAGTCATTGCTGTTAATCGTATGATGAGTAGCATACACTGATAATTCCTTCTTAAATGAAATTCAGAATTTTCATGAAAGACCTAAACTGAACAACTTTACCTGATCAATTTACGATTCTTTTGATGAATAAATGAGATTAATCATTAAGAAGATGCTAATATTATACTGGTTTACATTTAATTACCTCTTGTTTCATTAAAGAATAGACAAGGAGGAAATATGTCAACAGTTATAGTGATTCTATTTAAGATTTTTTAAATATTTATCATTGCTTTAGAATGTATGCTTTTTCTAAAAGATAACAAACGCTGAACATTTATGATGGTTTAATTAAAACAAAGCTGTAATATATAAATGTTTCAAAGGTTTGAAGAAGCTGATACAATCAATAATTACAGAAGTCCCATACTATGAAGGAACGATCTTCCAATGTTTCCAGGCTTTCCATGGTGGTCTAGCTTTAATCGACTCATGAATTCAACTATTAAATTACTAATGTATGTGGTATTTTCGAGGATTTATTAAAAGAAGCTCATAGAATAATCTGTGAATGTAATTTCACTGTCTATATATTTGAATGACATTTCCACACATTTTCTTCATGATAACATTATTATGTTTTGATTTAACTTGGGGTTTACAGCTTTGCCTTTGCATTCGCTCTCATGCACTACATTCGCCACTCTGCTTCAAATCTGCTCGATATGCTTGTAGATTATAATTGCCTTCTGATTTCAAAGACCGTTGAGGTTTTTATAATAACATTTGGCAAAGTGATTGATTAGCGAAGCTAATCCATTACAGCTTCCGCGTGCAATGTTTTTTTTATTAAACACCTCTGTTGAGACAAGACCAATAATTTCCCCATTTTTATTCATTATTTGTAAGTCTGTGTCTGCTGGTATGTTGACTAAATATTTGTGGTTCAAGAGGCCACAAATATTATGTGTTAAGACACTAATTTCCCTACTATTAACTAAAGAATTTCTACCAGCCAGGATCTTAGTGTATTTATGGCCTGTACGATTTCCCTTGAAATGTTAGCAAACTTTTATTGGGTTAATACACCTGTTTATATTCGGATAAACGGTATAATTTCTATATGACATGACAATTCCAATCGGTGCTAACCAAACGCATATTTCTAGTAACCACTCCTGATGTCATAGGGCTAGTGGATAGTAAGTCTATTTGAACATTGATAGCGTTAAGAAGAGAATAATCAATCAATCACGTCTTCTGTATTGAGATTACATTAAATACCACTAATTGGAACAGTAGATGCTAAATCTTAAACTTCTTGTCTGGTAGTGTTTGTGCCGATTAGAGAGATTCTTGATAAAGGTGTGAATCCGTAATCTGGTGTACAGTTGAC